CATAACTTATCTGATATTATATATAGATCAGATATATAACCATCTATCTATATCTCCTATGTGAGTTATCTTAACAAATAGGATATAATCAGGAAATCAAATTCAAATTACATGGGTAATTTAAATAGGCCGTGGTCATGCCACATAGGCGCCCAAATCCGGGTCCAATACGTGACCTAATTTTCAACACGATTAAACCAACGTCAAATCAATCATAAAATTATTATTTTCGCCACCAATTTAATTGCTCCAAATACTTGGAGGCAACCAAGTTTGCATCATTGTGGAAAATATCCTTTTATGTTTACGCAATATTTGGATGTTGGATTTATGGAGTAAAAAGAAGAAGTGAATGAAATTTTTTATGCACTTTTTTCTTTTTCATTTTTCTTCTTCTCCACAAATCTAATATTGCTGTCTCTAGAGTATCTCCATCGGTTTAGGGTTTTTTTTTTTTCACAATAAAAGTACACTTTATATAAGCCACTTCAGCAATGTGTAGTATTTGTACTACTAAAATGGCACAAGTGCTCCAGTGTAGCATTTGCTATGCTATTTATCTTATTTATCATCCACCATTAATTTGTGCCAAAATTATAAAATAAATAGAAGCTGTATTAAAAGAAAGAAACAAAATCATGAAAAATCATATAAGGCTTCCACGAAAATCGGAGTTTGTTTAGTGTGTTATTATTTTGACATAAATCTCTTTTTTACACTATCCACAATAGAAAAATGTTTGGGGGCCTTAATTCTGTGGCTCAAATATGGCTCAAATCGTTTTGGCCATTTTGATGTTGTTTTGTACTCAAAACGACGTCGTTTTGGCCATTTGAGCCACATTTGAGCCACAAAATTTGGGCCCTCTACCATTGCTGATCCACAATATACTAACTTTAGCCCCATGTTGGTTTTGTCCATGAATGTGGATAGTGGTTAAAAATGGGAAAAATAATTTTGGTTATCAATGGACATGTGAGGATTTAAATTTCTTTGGTTGGATTATTAATGGCTAAATAAATTAATGATAACTTAAATTCTAACTACAAAGGCATAAATGTAATTTCAACCCCCCCCCCCCCAAAAAAAAGAAAGGATAAAGAAAGCCAACTGGCCAAATAAAATTTGCTATATAATGTTCTAAATTTGGTTAAGAAATAACATTGTGCTATCTTAACACAATATACCTTTTGATAATTTGGTGTCCAGGCCATCTTGAACGCATCTTGACTATACTATTTTATTCATGACATATATTTTTTTTTTTTATTGTTATGCCATTTTAACAGTGTTATACCTAAATTGTAAAGCATTGAAACTTTTTTATTGACTGAGAAAATATTAAGTATCGATATTACTTATTGAAAATGATACTGTAATGTGATATGTGTTGGAAAATTTAAAAGTGGATAGAATTGGACTCTATTTGAATGAAAAGGTACAACCCTTCATTGTATCTATTCATATGAAAGGGTCGAATCCAAGAGATATGACCATTCTAAAGGTCATAAGTACATCTATAAACAAAAATGCTAGAGATCCCAAAAATTTTATCAAATGTCTCACATGGATGTGAGATTCACATGGGACTCACACTGTGTAGGTCCCATACCCATGTGAGACATTTGGTAGAACTTTTGATAAAATTTTTAGGGTCTCTAACCTTACTCAATAATATCATCTCATCCAATGGCATTCATGCATAAGTTAAGGTTTGTTTTAGGATTCATGCATTATGTCTAGTCGAGTATATAAGAGAGAGTGCATAACACAAATTGGTTCATTGTACACACAGAAAGTTGTGCAATTTCTGTGTGGGGTGATCGTCGTATCCTGGAAGCAGGATGTCCATTAACTGCAAGCACCAAAAGCGAAGGCGAAATTCTATCTTATAGGCACAGTATTCAAACACTGACCTCGGTCACAATATGTATTAAATTTGTAGAATTTTTCTTGTGTTTTATTTTGTTATTTATTTGTATTAAATTGATTTTTTCAAAAATATTTTCCTACAATATCACCATTAATTCCAATATTTACTCTAATGGCCCATGCTAGAAGTAAAGTAAGAACCATTTTTATGTTTCTTGCAGCCATTGGCAGCATCACATGTAGTTCACAACTTTCACACCTAACCTCATCTAATTTCTGGTGAGTGTTTGATATTGACAATTAGTTTTCTTTATTAATTGACATGTGAACCACCAAAAGGTATGCAATTTACACTTTTTATACGAAAATCCGGGTTGGCGATTGAACACTTTAATTAGTGAAATATCACTGATTTTTTTGAAGGCAAATTTCACAGGTCATTATTAGGTACGGTTAGTTCACATGATTTTGTTTTAAACTAATGACAGTGAAAAATTCTAATGGATAGGACATAGCAACTCACATTTGTGAAGTAGTTAGGAGACGTGAATATTCAACTAGGTTGTAATTTCTCATTTGCTAAAAGTACCATTAGGCAATGCTATATGGCATTTAGGGACTATTTAGTAATTTTTTAAATCTCACTTTCTCTCATATAATTTAACCCATGTGTACATACCCTCTATTATTTGGAAACAAACACATAAATCTCGTGTGATTTGTAAACTAAAGTACAATATTGTCAAGCCCATTAATACCTTAAATGAAAAGAAACTACTCTTTTTTATAGATAATCTCATTATGCAAACCACAAATATTTTAGTCATTTTTTTTTTAGAAACAAAATTCACTTTAACCTCTTATGCATTACTCTATGTATGACTTGCTTCATGACATTTGAAAATAGCACATAGTCTCTTATATTCTCGCACATGAATTACATTTATTATTAATTTTGATAGAATGATTGACGGTACACTGCAATCCACCAATTATAAAGGGATTATGTGATTTTTTCTAAATAATATCAGTTAATTTGCACATTAATCAAATTATAAGGAATAAAGTGAAATTTGCATTTTTCTTAATTTTATTTAGATTTTATTAAGACATGAAAGTCATGTGAACTTTTTATTTTTTTAAATAGAGTATTTGACAATAGCTTTTTCGTTACTTATTTGTATCAACACTTTTTGTTTTTGAGAAATGGCAACGAAATTTGTCATCATATAGATGGTGATAATTGTTGTACAACTGGCCTTGTGCTTTTTTGGATGATGTCTCAATAACAATCATTGTATTTAGGCTTTTTGTTTTTTTAGGTAGAATGGAAGAGTAAGGGTTTTCTAGAGTTTTTTTTTTTCTTAAAGTTTTTTAGAGTGGTGCATTGTGTGGTTGAGATTTATTGATAAGTCACATCAATTTTTCAACATTAAATCTCAATCACACAATACACCACTCTAAGAAACTTTAGGAAAAAAATACTCTAGAGGATCCTTGGTGAGAATGGAAATGATTAATAATAAGAAAATTAGTAAAATTGTATTTATTTTCATAGTGAGGAAATTAGTAAAATTATTTTTATATAAAATAAATATTAAATAATAAAATAAATAAAATTATGATTTTTACTTAACAAAAAATACAAAAATATTAAACATTAATGTTTTAAAAAAATGCTCAACAAGTTTTAAAAAAAAAATTACATTGACCGGTTGACTAGTCGGTTGATCGGCCGAACTTCCGATAACACCCAATCCGAATAGACTAATTTGCTAATACCATCTCTCACTTTGGATTACTAATACCCTCGCCAATGCCCATTCATAGTCCTTCCAAACTACGAATCCAAACCTCCCAAACTAAACAAACAGGTTCTATCTTTACTGTTCATCTATCACAGTCCATAGTAAACTTTGATATATAGCTGAAAACATACGCCCCTCATAATGTTGTGAGACTCTTGCTTATATCAAATGAATATGAGCTTTACTATTTTTTTTAAATCTTTTTTCAAATTATTTTTTTGTAATTCTTTATTATTTTGGGCTGAAATTTTTTATTATTCATTTTTTATAATAAAAATAAAGGCTCAACTTTTTTAGATTTTATTAAGACATGAAAGTCATGTGAACTTTTTATTTTTTTAAATAGAGTATTTGACAATAGCTTTTTCGTTACTTATTTGTATCAACACTTTTTGTTTTTGAGAAATGGCAACGAAATTTGTCATCATATAGATGGTGATAATTGTTGTACAACTGGCCTTGTGCTTTTTTGGATGATGTCTGAATAACAATCATTGTATTCAGGCTTTTTGTTTTTTTAGATAGAATAGAAATGATTGATAATACGAAAATTAGTAAAATTGTATTTATTTTCATAGTGAGGGAATTAGTAAAATTATTTTTATATAAAATAAATATTAAATAATAAAATAAATAAAATTATGATTTTTACTTAACAAAAAATACAAAAATATTAAACATTAATGTTTTAAAAAAATGCTCAACAAGTTTTAAAAAAAAAATTACATTGACCGGTTGACTAGTCGGTTGATCGGCCGAACTTCCGATAACACCCAATCCGAATAGACTAATTTGCTAATACCATCTCTCACTTTGGATTACTAATACCCTCGCCAATGCCCATTCATAGTCCTTCCAAACTACGAATCCAAACCTCCCAAACCAAACAAGCAGGCTCTATCTTTACTGTTCATCTATCACAATCCATAGTAAACTTTGATAGCTGAAAACAAACGCCGCTCATAATGTTGTGAGACTCTTGCTTATATCAAATGAATATGAGCTTTACTATTTTTTTTAAATCTTTTTTTGAATTATTTTTTTGTAATTCTTTATTATTTTGGGCTGAAATTTTTTATTATTCATTTTTTATAATAAAAATAAAAGCTCAACTTTTTTATTTCATAAATAACTACAATTACTAGTTAATAAAATGTCACTTTCTAACATACAAAGCATAAAGTATTGCATCATTTTCTATAATGCTAACAAAAACAAAACAAATAAATAAATTTTAAAAAATGTAATAAAAAATTGAAAATGCTCTTACCACTAAAACAAAATCATGGACCCAAAAAACAGTACACCCATGTTTTTGTCCATAAAAGACCCTTTTTTCCCTCAACTTCGTATATGTTTTCCAACATGCCTAGGACTCAACCAATCCTTCAATGGCTCTCTCTCTTCATTTTGGTCGAGCTCTGTCTTCCCTCTCATGGCGATGTCGGCACAGCTGCTCAGTATGATCCTCCATATATACGTAAGTACCATTTTAAAAAATAAATTTTATCAATACAGAAATCAGTCGCAGATAAAACACAGAATGTATATGAACATGTATCATTTTTGTGTGACCAGTTTCCATATTAGTAGCTGAATTGTTCCAAAATGTTGCAAATGTGTTAAAAAGCATTTTCCGCGGCATTGCTTCAGGGCATTTTAATCTAGAAATGCCACTAAAACTTAAAAACTGCATAATTCAAGAGTTTCAGCTGATAAGATTGATCTAGTGACTGATTTTCGATCTGGGTTTCGTGCAGCGACTGCGTGTTATGGAAGCGATCCTTCACAGTTTCCTTCAAGCAATTTGTTCGCGGCGGTGGGGGATGGAATATGGGACAATGGGGCATCGTGTGGGAGACAGTACTTGGTGAGGTGTATTAGTGCAACAGCTCCTGAAACTTGTGTTGTTGATCAGACTGTCCAGATTAGGGTGGTTGATTATGTCCCTACGGCAGCTTCGAATCCGTCGGCTGGTGGCACCACCATTGTTTTGTCAAAGACTGCATTTGGTGCCATTGCAAATTCTTCAGCTGCCTTAATAAACATTGAATTCCAACAGTATCTCTCTCCCTCTCTCTCTCCCTCTCTCTCTCTCATGTCATGTTTTGCTCTATGTCATGCATTATTGAATAAGTTTTCATGGCTTTTGGTTGCATTTTGTCAAGGTTGGGTCATGTCATCCTTGAGTTGGCATGCCAAATCTCTAACTTGTTCCAACTTCCATTTAATTATCTTCTGGATGAGGTTAATCTAAGTTGAAAGTAAAATGCTACATATAACTTTGGGGAAATTACCTAACAGTGGGAAGTTGAAAAAAATATTACATATACATGAAAAAATTTATAATTTTAATTATCAATATTGACCAAATTTATCATTATAATTTATAATTATTTTTAAGTTCTACACTGATTTGAAATTCTACCTATAACTTTATTTTTTAAGCACTAGTGAGTTGATATTATACTTTTTATTAACGTAAATCTTATTACGTTGTGTTTAGGAGTGCGGGTAAAAAATAAGAAAATGTGTAGCTATGCTTTTAAAATGGTTATCCTTAAGTTTTAAAAGATAGTATCGAGAGACTGATCATTTTATTAGACAATCTTTAATGTATTAAAAAAAATAATAAATTTTATTTGTGTACTTAACAACAAACGGAATATAGAAGAAATAGAGGAAATGAGAGAGATATTGTTTGATTATAAAAATCAAACCAGAATATAAAATAAAAATAAATAAATAAAACAGATTTTTATTTTGTCACAAAAACAAAATCAAAATCTGAAACAGAAACAGAAACAGAAAAAATAATAAAACAGAAAAGTAAATTAATTACTTACCAAATTAATTTGTTGAACTAATTTTCTGATCAAGTCCAATATTTAACACTGTGTCCTTAAGACAGATTCGTCCTCTCCAGAGTGCTTTCAGATTGTGGACGTCTATCTCCCAAGATAAAATGATCAATAGTGAATAGTAGCAGCACTACACACTATTCACACAACGAATACACTATGTTTATACTATTTCTCACAAGGAAAATAATACAGCAAAATGCAGATAGAGCAGGTAGAATTTGGAACGAAAATTGAAGTGAAAAAAACCAAATGAGGAACTGCCTATTTATAGATAAAAAGGTGGCTGTATAGTTTGAATTAAACAGGTGCAAAACCTGTTTGAACAGGTATTATATTTGTTCGGTTTGAATGAACAAGTAATGTGGTTGTTGGGTTTAAATTTAAACAAATATGAATCTGTTTGGTTTGAATTCAAACAAATATTCATCTGTTCGGGTAGGGAAAAAATCGAAGCCAATTTTGAAATTAATTTTCGAAATTCAAATTCCAAAAAATTAGAATTTAATTTTAAAAAAAATAAAATTCAAATGTGTTTGGCCCAAAAAATAGGTATTGGACCGGACAAGCCCAACCCAACCGCACACCACGCACCCGCACCCAAGCCCAGCCCTCCCAGACAGGCGACAGCAGTGGCGCGTGTGTGTTTATTTTGGATCCAATGGGTTTAGCCCACTTTGTCCAGAACCTTTCCCCCTACAAAACTTGAGTGCCCCTTAGGGCCTACCCCAAGTTCCAAACGCAAGCCTTATAAGCCCACTCAAAGTTTGCCCACCAAATCAATATAGGATAAGCCTTAAACCAAACCTTTAGGAAATTTTACCAAAAACACTATTTCCATGGAACTCTCTTTGACTTCAATTTTTCAATTCACCCGATAATGGTTTTGAGCAACTAAATATACTACATGAATCACAACGAGGCATAAAACGCGTTACCATTTTAACCCACCAACATTAGTGCATGAGTCCCACCTAAAAAAATAGACCAAAGTTGAGAAAAAATCTGTTTTTCCAAAACTCATTTCTAACAATCCTCCACATGAATGGAATTTGATGACAATGGAAATGCAACAATATGCAAAATTTGTCGAGAGAGTATAAATCGAAAATATCTTGCATCGGTATAAATAGCTTTCAACCTTGAACATTCCTTAGTGATAACCTATCAAACTTACTAGCTAACTAATGGACGCGATGCCTTGAATTGTTCAGCCGTTTGTGTAAGCCAAGACAATAGATTTCACACAAAATATCTTCTGGCACATCGTGATTCTCACGGTTATATTCATTTTGGCCTTGAATGCTCCTGATTGTTCATGAGTGCTTCAAGAGAATTTAGCCTCTTCATTCTTATAAAACCGGTCCCAGTTCGACACTCATATATTATTGTGAGTATCTCTTTTATACTCGTCTTGATTTTTATGCCTAAATCAAGATATAAGTAATCATTAAAAGTAAAACTTATCATTAAACCCCTGCATATAACACATGTTGCAGATATCATTCTCATCATAGGAATGGGTATGAAATTTCAATCCCTTAGTAATTTTTGGCGAGCCACACATAACTTAGTTGCCCCTTTGAACTTAGTTCTTGGGATCTCCAGTCATTTAAGTAGAGTTACCATTATGATGACTCTTATCTAATAGGCTTTAATCACATCTCCTTTGATGAACTATACACTTGCTCTTTAGTCAAACCTTTTGCTAATGAATTCGCAATATTTTCTTTAGATTTTATATAATCTATTGAGATTATTCCATTTGAGAACAATTGTCTTACGGTATTATGTCGACGACGAATATGTCGTGACTTACCATTGTACATATGACTCTGTGCTCTGCCTATTGCAGATTAACTGTCACAATGAATACAGATAGCTAGCACAAGTTTTGGCCACATTGGAATATCTTTTAAGAAGTGGCGAAACCATTCTGCTTCTTCTCTTGCTTTGTCTAAAGCAATGAACTCCGATTCCATTATTGATCGTGTAATACATGTTTGTTTCGTAGATTTCCAAGAAATAAAAGCCCCTCCCAAAGTAAAGACATAACCGCTAGTGGATTTCAAATCTTTAGTATCTGATATCCAATTGGCATCACAATAACCTTCTAGTACTCTAGAATATCGAGTAAAGTTCAAATCATGATCACGGGTAAATCTTAGATATCTAAAAACTCGAATGATCACTTTTCAATGGTTTTTTCCAGGGTTACTAGTGTACCTACTCAATTTACTGACAGTATGAGCTATATTAGGATGAGTACAATTCATTAGGTGCATTAGGCTTCTAATAATTTAAGAGTATTTTAACTGAGATACCATATCACCTTTATTTTTTGATAAATAAAGACTGATGTTTACAGGTGTTCTAGCTACATTCATATCATCCTTGATAAATTTACCAAGAATTTTCTCAATATAATGTGATTGAGACAATGCATATCCGTCAGATGTTTTAGTAATTTTCATTCCTAATATTACATCTGTGACCCCCATATCTTTCGTATCAAATCTTCTATTCAACATTTGCTTAGTTAATTTGATCATGTTTTGACTACTTCCAATGATAAGCATGTCATCCACATAAAGACAAACTATGGCATATCCTTGGTCAGTGTTTTTAACATAGACGCACTTGTCACATTCATTTATCTTAAACCCGTTAGTAAGCATAACATAATCAAATTTTTCATGCCATTGCTTAGGAGCTTGTTTTAATTCATAAAGAGATTTTACAAGCCGACAAACTTTCTTTTCTTGCCCTGGCACTACAATTCCTTCAGGTTACTCCATATAGATCTCTTTATTTAGGTCACCGTTTAAAAAAGCTGTCTTAATATTCATTTGATGTATTTCTAAATTGTACAACGCTGTTATAGCAATAAGTATGCGGATGGGTGTTATTCTTGTCACAGGAGAATATGTGTCAAAATAGTCCAGACCTTCCTTTTGTCTGTGACCTTTTACTACAAGTCTTACTTTATACTTATCTATTGAACCATCTGCTTTCATTTTTCTCTTGAATATCCATTTATATCCAAGAGGTTTAAAACCGGGTGGAAAATCCACCAATTTCCAAGTATAATTTTGCATAATGGATTCAATTTCATTATTAACAGCCTTTTTCCAGACAGGTGCTTCAGGACCTGTAATTGCTTCCTTAAAGGTTTGAGGTTAATTTTCTAACAAGAATGTCAGAAAATCTGGACCAAAGGATTTTAATGTTCTTGCTCTCTTACTTCGTCTTGGTTTATCATCAGTTAAATCCTGTTAGTTGAGACCATTACCAGTATCTTGTGTTTGATTGTCATTAATCTCTTGACTTTGTATACAATCATAAGTTCTTTTATGTGAACTTAATTCATGTCCTTCTTGTAAGGAAAAAAATGTTCAAAAAAAACAGCATTCTTTGACTCTATAATAGTGTTCATATATATATTAGGTATTTTTTATTTATAAGTCAGAAACCGATATGCACTACTATTCTGAGCATAACCAATAAATACACAATCCACTATTTTTTGTCATATCTTAGTCTTTTTGGGAACAAGAACTTCTACTTTTGCCAAACACCCCTACATTTTTAAGTATTTGTAGGAAGGTAGTCGACCTTTCCACAATTCATAAGGAGTGCTGTTAGTTTTCTTGTGGGGTATTATGTTAGGAACATAATTAGGAGACAAAATTGCTTCCCCCCACAAATTCTGCGGTAAGCCTGAACTTAGTAATATGACATTGATCATTTCTTTAAGGGTTCTATTCTTCCTTTCAGCAATTTCATTTTGTTGTAGAGAATAGGATGTTGTAGTTTGGTGAAAAATGTTATGTTGTGCACAAAATTCATTTAATGTTGCATCATATTCACCACCTCTATCACTTCTAACCATTTTAATGGTTTTACCAAGTTGATTTTCAATTTCAGTTTTGTAGAGTTTAAACATTTCTAAAGCTTCATCTTTACTTCTAAGTAAGTATACATAACAATATCTTATGCAATCATCGATAAATATTATAAAATACTTCTTGCCTCCTCTAGTTTGAACAAATTTAAGATCACACACATCAGTATGAATTAATTCTAGAGGTTCGGTTTTTCTTTCAATCGATTTAAATGGAGTCTTAGTTTCGTTTCTACACAAATCTCACATTTGTGATTAGGATCAATTTCAAACTTTAGTATATAATCCAAACCAAT